TTTCTTCTGTACTTTTTGGAGTTATTGTACCACACATTAATTCAAAACTCGAGTAACTTTTTAAAGAAATTGTACTTTTCTAGCAACATACTTTTACTCCTATTTGATATTATATTTTAATTGAAGTGTTACTGTTACTTGAGTAAAAAGTTTGGTTCCTCTTCCCACTGTCAGGAAGTCTACAAATTAGAGCCCGACCGATATATCGGCTGGCCGATATTATCGGCCAATATGGGCACCTGAAGACATATCGGCTATCGGCCGATATGCTTGCTGATATGGGCCGATATTTCACGTGGGCATGTTATACCTTATAAAGCATAGACTCTCTACATTATGTTCATTTAATCCAATTTACAGACAGATAAATGTCCTAATATGTGGCTCCGCATCAGTATTTATCTGCGGTGTAATTTGCCTGTGTCCGTACTGTCTCTGAACACACCACCAGAGTGACGTCACTTCACTCGCGTGTTTGTTTACACCCGTGGCGGTGCGCAACACTGAGATTATATTCTTTTTCGGACAATCGGTTTGAGTCTGGATTAAAAGGACATTTATTAGTGCAGACTTGTGATGTGAGGAGGAGCCTGTGTGAGCGGTGAGTGTTGGAAATACATCGACTTTGAAGTTAGTTTAGGTTTTGTTAGCGGTTAGCTGCTGTAGCTCCCGCACATAAACAGGCTGTTTTCTATTGGCCTATTGTAAAGTGACTATATTAGCCGTATATTTGTTACTGGACCTGCATTGATATGCAAATGAGCTGTGAATAGACGTGTGAATGATCCACATTTATGCATATAATGCACCGCGGTGCGCAGCATTTACGGCTAAAGGCTAATAGCGATAGTTTACTAGCTAGGAGTTATGGGTCGGTCGCGATCGAAGCGGCTCTTAGAGCGGGAGCCTGCTTCTTATTGGGAGCCGTGTTTTCTCTTTTTCTCACTTTTTCTCTTCATGCCGCATGCAGACCCATAGTTTGACAGCAGCAGCAGCTGAAAACGAAACTTTCAGAAATCTGCGTGTGCATAGGATAAAAAAAGTGCATATTTGGCTGCAGTTCAGCATAAAATTAATAAACCAGGACTAAACTTGGGCTCGAGTGAAGGAGAGAGATAGAAACCGAGTCCCGACACTCAGTCCTGGTTCAGTTCTGGTTTAGTCCTGCTTGCAACAAAACAATCTCAAGAGTCGCTTGGGAGCCGAAAGAGCCAGCTGCTTTAGTGAGCCGAGCCAAAAGAGCCGGTTCTCCAAAAACAAAAAACAAAAACTGGAATACCCATCACTAGTAGCTAGAATGTGATGCAAAAATGCCATTAGGCCAATCTACTGTATGTAAATATGATGTAAAGAGTCAAAATAACAATAAATGTTGCCTAAATAAACCCAATTTAGAATCCACTAGAGCCAAACCTAAGTTTTTTAATCAATTCAAGATTTACAGTGAATTTTTACATCACTAAATATATCGGTGATTATATCGGCTATCGGCAGCTCAAACTACCATTATATCGGTTTCATATCGGCCACAACAAAATCCATATCGGTCGGGCTCTACTACAAATGACAAAAGCATTATGAAATGATTAGAATTTGCATTTGAGTTTCTTGTACTACTCCTTCAAATGTCTTCAAAATTTTCTGTCTATCCTTTGACAATACCAGATTTTATGCATTAATTAATATTTTGTCCTTTAAATTACATTAACTTGTTCGAACTCAGTCATATTTATTGTGCAGCTGGTTATATGACAAACAAACTACTGGCCTCTCTTGGCAGTTGAATAAAGATATAGACATGATGCTAAGAATTTTGATATTAACATTAATTTAGCTGTTTTGACATTTACAACAAAGAGGACAGCGAAACAACTGTAGGCTTTAGACCATAATCACCACTGCAGACACGTACACTGGACTTTATAGCATTAAGGATCCCGTCCAGTCTGTATCTATATAGTGACCATATGTTGAATAGTTGAGGTTAATCACACTAAATGAATGACACTGGATACTGCGCCAGGGCTTCCTCTGCTAATGTCTGTGCCCCAGGCCTGACCTTGGGCTCCTCTGGGGATCACTGCCATGTGTCCCTTCAGCTGTGGAGAATTAAACCAGAGACAGCGAAAGGGGAGGCTCATAGTGATGACCTGCCGCTATTGTGGGACTGCCCCAGTGTTCAAATGCAGAGGTGAAGATTTTAGATTGTCCGTGTGTGCAGTATCTTAAAGGGGATATATTAGGCTAAATTTACTTGTATGAGCTTTTAGCCATGTTACAATGGTGTTCCCATTTTTCCCAGTTGGTGTTCCCAGTTTTTTTTTTTATTGATTCATGCATGCTTGAGTAATCCTGTTTTTTTTATCCCATTGTTGTTGGTCTATACCCCAGTGTTAAGCAGTTGTATATTAATATCCAGTTTTCCACAGTTATCTGGGTTTGTATTAGATTTTTATTTTATTTTAAAATTTTAAATATTTTCCATGGGAGCAGATAGTAAGCACGCTAAAGAGGGGGTGTAGAATGAGGAGAGACATTCAGTAAATTATAAGAGCCATAACCTGAAATGATTTCATATTAATTATAATAAAATAAATCTTTTAATGTTTTGACTTTTATCTCCTAGATTTTAACAATGGCATATCATTGCTTAAACAAACACACACACAAAAATACAATAAGTTTTGGCAATTAAACTTGAAAATAGAAAATAAAATATAACTAAGAAATTACAGCTCTAAAAATGTAGTATTTTCTTCATTTTTTAGTGTTGCCGACATTTGATTGACGCCTGTGCATGTGTATCCTTGATGAAACCTCTAGTAGTATTCCTGGAGCCTATGGACCGGATACATGCTGCGTATTAAAGGGGTGACGAAGAGTGTGATGGTCTAATCTTGCTCCCCGTTCTGTTTTTGATCCTCCAACTGGTAAAGAAATACAGGCCTGGTGCCCTTATGTCTCTGCCACAGCTGTGCTAAGTCCCGGCTTAAGGGGGAGATCTGGTTTAAGAGTGAAACTACAAAGAGCGTGCGTATGTGCCAGAAATAGTGCTGGAAAAACGACCAGGCATGACAGACACATGTTGCACTTGTTACCCATTGGATATGTCATAACCTACATACAGGAGAGAGATATGAAACACTAAACAAATTTGAGACATGTTTGGGATCCTAAACATGGCTGGGGGGCACATTTCACACACAGTGCCCCCCAGTGTTACAGGAAGTCATTACAGCACAATTATCAGTAATGGTGCGAAAGTTTTACCCTAAGGACAGGTAAAGCCATTCAGTGCAGGTGTGTTAGAAGAATTGTTCAAATCAGGTTCCTACGCTTGTATTTCAGTGTATTTGACTATAGTTCTTTATTTGGATTTTTGTTAATAGCATTATAAAACACAGACACATAATTACATTTGAGGATTAATTTCTTAAAGGGCCCATATTACGCTATTTTCTGATCTATATTATAATGTTGTTTCCTCCTCAGAAACATACCTGGAGTTGTGTTTTGTTTCACACACAAACCCTGCATATTTAGGCTGAGTTCTTCTCTCAAACAGAACCACTCTGTTCCACCTTGTGATGTCACACAGGAAGAGTTCCTCTGAGTTTTTAAACACCATAGAATCGTATGGATAATTTCAGATCACAAGGTGGAATGGAGCATTTCCAGCTTTGGAGATGTAGACTAACAGAGGTGGGCACTTGCAAGTCGTGACTTGGACTCGAGTCAGACTTGAATCACTATTTTTAGGACTTAAGACTTAACTTGATAAAATGAACTAAGACTTGGGACTCGACTTGGACTTGAAGGTCAGTGACTTTGGACTTAACTCGGACTTGAGGCCTGTGACTTGAGAAGACTTGAGAAGCACTTTTAAATCTGAATTCTTTCTATTCTGACCGTAATGATTCACAGTAAGGTCTTGTCAACACATTTAAAAAGGTAAAATTTGCATTTCTACAACTCTTATATACTGTATAAATACTCACATGTAAATATACTATAATTTTATAAGTACAATTTATCTTAAAAGTAATAAATTGCAAAAATCTTATATTTGGTACTTTGGTTTAAAGACTTGAAAAGACTTGAAGCTCCAAGCAGACTACTTTAACTTCACTTGGAGTTATGGCCCAGTGACTCGAGACTCGACTTGATCTTGGCTGTATTTGACATGGGATGTGACTCGGATTTGAGGTCAAAGACTTGAAACTTAGTTGAGACTTGCAAAACAACAACTTGGTCCCACCTCTGCACATTAATAATAAAGAATTACTCAAACATGTATGAACGAAACAAAACACAACTCCAGGTATGTTTATGATGAGGTAGCAGCATTATAACATATTGTATAATATAGGAAGATCCAACCCAAAAAAAACATGCTACATAGGTCTCCAGGAAGAACAGCTGATAGCCAAGGTCAATTAAATACAATCAATCAATTAACCTGCCCAGGGACTACAGGTGGAAATTAACACTGGTGCTACAACCTGGTACAATGCATCTCTCCTGTTAAGGTTAATGTATATTGTGCACTGTCCCTGTCTCATTAAATAAATAAATAAATAAATAAATAAATTATAACTATAAATAAACTACTGTCTCTAGCAGTAGACCATATAGTGCAATGCAGTACTAGTTTTAGCTGTACTGATAAACACTGCATATTCTTAAGATTATTGATAAGATTATGTAAAAAGCTATCACATAATGATAAATGTATTACACCATTATGGAAGAAAGACAACCCACTCTATTATAGCGTTCATTGTGTTGATGTAGTTTTAGGACTGGAAAATGTGAAAGTAATTGCTGTAATCAACATCATCTGACTTAAACTCACTTTTCAAACAGGCTACTTAACAATTATTTGTGAAAATGCTATCCATTTCCCCTAATGAAACACATGGGGAACACTTTGGCAGCCGAGTATCTTGCTGATTATGTAATTTTGAGGTTGGAAAACGTAACAGACACCAGAGCAGACCTTTGTATGAGAAAGAGCATTTTATTGAGCACTGCTTTATTCCAATGTTTCAAAGGAAAGAGCAAGGACAAGAATTTTTTTTTCAATCGGTGGACAGAGGAAGTCAAAGGGAGGAATTTTTAAACTTTTTTTTTTGTTGTTATTTTGTTTCTTAGCAAAACCGGCAGTGCATTCAACACTGTATCTTTTATCAGTGAGGTCCACAGTTTAATTTACAATAGAAACTCTCATTTTGTAAGAAAAATCCCGACTTGTTTTTTCAGTCTCTCTTTGCGTGACGAATAGCCCACTTGAAATGAAACGCTTTTGCCCTCAAAGTACTCATGTAATGCGTCTAAACAAGGCAGGATTTGATTAGCTTTTCACACATTTTAAAATTCATTGTAGACCTTTCAGAAGGTGAAGAAGTGAAAATCCTAGAATGTATTGTTTGAAATAAAGACGGAAAAGGAAACACCAAAGTTTCAAAAAAAGTCCAAAATGGCAAAAAGCAAAACAAAAAACACAACACGAATGCATGTCAACTGCTTTGCACAATGTGAAGAAACTAGTTTTAAAGGTGCATTGTGTAACTTTTCTGGTGAAGAGTCCGTCAAAAGCTTTTCTCCATGGAAATGTTATTGCTTTGTCTTGAATATTTCACATTATGGCTTTAAACCTTTCTATCTTCATGTATACCAAACCAGACCAAGTTGCAGGTCAGATCTATGGAGAGGCAACCCCATTCATAGTCAAAGTGCCTGTTTTTCTAGGGATTTTAGGTATAAAAGCACATGTAATTTAATAAAGGTTAGGTACAGCTGTTTAATGTCATACTGTGGAACATTCCAGGCAGAGCAATGACATATCCATAGAAACAATCAGGCGACAGACCCTCAATCAAAAAGTTACACAGTGCACCTTTTAGGAAAGCGTGAAGCATCACCACTGAACAACTCTTGGGTAAAAAAAAACTACAACCAAAAAGAAGCAATGACGAATAAAGCAAGCAATTTTTCAAACCAGAAGGAAAAACAAAATGGAAGAAGAAATAGTAGAAGTCCTATAGCAGCCAGCTCCTGAGCTCGGCTTCAGTTCTGCTCTGTCAATGATGGAGGGCTTTACCTGCAAACCCAAACAGCACCCACAGAACCATGAGGTAGATTTTCAGTCACAACGGACCACGAAAAAGAGACAAGATCCTCCTAAAATATGCCTAGTAAAACATGCCATTTCACAAAAACTACGGCTTCTGTTTTAATATTATTGTGTGGTTTTAAAAAAAGAAGGACAGAGTAAAAGAAAGATTTGATTTTCTCTGAGATTGTTCAGAATTGCTTTTACTTTTTATCAGTATTGCCCTCATAGTAGATTGACTTTATTGCTACCAGAGACGAGATAGCATAGAAACACGCACTGCCTGGAAATGTTACAGTTTTCACTCACTCACATTATCAGATTATGTCATGTTATGTTACCTGATCAAGATTGATGGACAAATATTGGAAAGCATGATGTAAGGAAGGCACCTTTTCCAATAGTGATTTGATGAACACCTGTAAATTGAGTGTAGTTTATAAAAAAGTAGGGGGAAAATATTATTACGTCATGCATTTTTATAACATCTAGGGGCAATGGTAGAAAGTCTTTTGGTGTCAGGTGAGAGGCGATGACAAAGAGGAAAAAGTAGAGCATCAGTGTTTTGTATCAAAATAAATCGTGTCTTTTTTTCATCTTTTTTTCGTAGTGATTATAGCCAACCGCTTGAGTCCGTTTACTCCATCCTCTTTTTCTCAAAAGTCGGGGCTGTGCAAAAAGTTCAAGTTGTGTGGTCCAATCACAGAAGGCCGTGGCTGTTTACTCTGTGATGTCATCAGTGGATTCCCAACCGCTCCTCGGATCATAGAGAGCCTGGAATTACATGGAAAAAGACATCGATTTAGTATTAAAGGTTTTATCTGAATCATTTGGATAATTTCAGCTGTGTAACTTTTGTGGTGGAAGGACTGCCGCCAGCTTGTCTCCATGGAGATGTTATTGCTTTGCCTGGTATGTTCCACAGTATGACACTAAGCATCAGATCTGGTCATTAGGTCAGGTCTGTGAAGATGTTACCCTGCTTACAGTATGAATGCACGTTTTTCGTTGAATTTACAAGCAATAAAGAAAACTGTTATTGTATTAAATGTAAGATTTAAGTTTAATGTAATACTATGGAACATTCAAGGCAAATGCAGGCTACAGGAAATGCTCCACTGTGTTTTAAAAGTCATACACCTCCTTGCTAGAATCATTTGGATAGTTTGAGCCTTGGAGTTGCCAATCTCTACTAAACAAAAGGTAAAAGATAGCTGTTAACTTGAAAACTACTACTACATGACATCACAAGGTGGAACAGAGCATTTTGAGATTTGGAGATGTTGACAAACTAATAATAAATGATTACTCAGACAAGTGTGAATGAAATAAAACACAACTCCAGTTTGTTTTGATAAGGTAACAACATCCTAAAATGGCTTAAAGCTCACAGAAATCAAGTTTCCATAATATAGGACATTAACTTTAAAATGTTCTTACTATTTAAATGATGTGGTTTTACTATCACTTACTCAGCACTTTCTTAAACTGCAGTTATTTTTAAATGTGCTGAAGTTTGAGTGGATTTCACTTACTTTACTTGCTGAGCTGACTGTACGGTGAAGAATTGTTGGAGGAGTCCACTTGCTGCGGTGTCCCATTTTCCTGAAAAGCAGAAACCACATATCGCGCTCAAAACTCTATAATAACCACCTCTACTGTGTTTGCACTAAGATAATTGATGCTTTTGATGGACAATGGGAATTCAAAGGCTCTTAAGTGGAGGCCAGTGCGAATTTATAAAACAGTAATTACTTTAAAAATGTATTATCGAAAACAATGAGTACTTACTTTAAATAAAAGAGACATAAAGAGACTCACCGGTACTTGCTGCACGGGAGGATACTGAGGCATATAGGCTCCTTGTACAGCGGGGTTTGCAGCCATGTACTATTAAAGACAAATACACAATGTTAGGACTGAATGAATGAAAAATAGGAATAGGAATACACAAGTTAGAGTTGGTAATAAGCTTCAGTTGTAGTAGTAGCAGATGTAGTAGTAGTATATTTTTCTGCAGTCATTAAAGGTCCAGTATTACACAAAATCAACGCTTATGATTTTTAGCTGTGTTAGAATGTTGCTACCTCCTCAAAAACCTGGAGTTGTGTTTTGTTTCATTCACACATGTTTGAGTAAACCCTTTATTATTAGTCTGTCTATATCTCCCAAGATCAAAATGCTCTGTTCCTCCTTGTAATGTCATGCAGTGGTAGTTTTTAAATTAATACCACCTTTTAGTTCAGTAGAGATGGGCAATTACAGGGTTGAAAGTATCCAAATGATTCTAATGAAGGTGTATGGAGTTTAAAAACACAGTGGAGCACTTCCTGTATTACCACATGACACCACAAGGTGGATCAGAGTGTTTTCAGTTTGAGTCTAAATATTCAGGGTTTGTGTGTTAAACATGTGTGAAAAAAAAAAAAAAACTCCAGGTATGTTTGTGATGAGGAAAATACAGTATAACATACATCAGAAAACAGTGTAATTTGGGCCATTTAACTTAAACAGGACTTATTACAAAACATTTTCCATGTTGCAATAACCAAAAGTAGTGTAATCTGTCTATAATCTGTCCAATTTAAATTATCCAATGAGCTCATGATGAAGGAATTTAAATTTTGTATTTTGGGATAAAAAAGCGAAACAGCAATTATTGTACGTAAAATCCCTCAGTTGTCCAAGCAGAATCCATGGGAAAGATGGCATCCAATTTGTCAACTGGACAAAAGTTTTTCATCGCTTCTGAGTGCTATTATTTTTCTAGTTAAATTTCAGATATGCTTGTTTTCTTCTATTTCAACTAACCTACTGTGATTACATGTATTACTATAAACTACATATAACTTAATATATTTAGGAAATAGGAGATTTTAACTTTAATATTATCTATTAACTGAATTACATCTTGCTTGTATTTGGAAAAAGTGGATTTAGGCTGTCATCTGATTATGAGCAAAATGAGGTTAAAAAGACTTAATTAAAATGGGGATTTGGCTGATTAGATGATTATATTATAGTTAATGATTTGTGTGGGCTTTGAATCGACTGACCGCTCCTGGGTTTCCCAACGACAGCTGTCCCATCTGCTGAGTGAGGAGGGACGAAGGGTGCAGTGACATGGATGGGTCCACAGAGGGCGACATCACAGCTGTCTGCAGTGGAGAGGAGAACGTCAGGAGGGTGATCAAACTGAATGTATACATTAATCTAGTATAGCAATAGTATTTCATACATGTTATGTAAATAAAGCAAATGATTTCTTTGTCATGGCACCTGTTTGTGGGATTTCATACAAAGCTGTACATTGTGTTCCAATACTCACAAACTCCTCAAAAACATACCTGGAATAATGTTTGTTTAATTCACACATGTCTGAGCTTTGGAGAAGAAGACAGACTAATAATAATGCATCTGTTTTATATAGCACTTTTCTGGACACTTGAAGACACTTTACAGATCTCCACACCCAGTGACGGTTAGCTACTATTGTATTGCCCTGGCACAGACTGACAGAAGAGAGGCTGTCAATCTGTACCATTGGCCTCTCCGACCACCATCTCACACACACACACCACTTTCATACTAGTCAATGTGGGTGAAGTGTCTTGCCTAAGGACACAATGACCATTTTTGTGACTGGCACCCCCCTGTGGCACTAGATTTTCCCAGCAGTCTCCCATCCAAGTACTACCCAGGCCTGGCCTTGCTTAGCTTCTGAGATCTGACAGGTTCAAGCTGGTATGGCCAATAATGGATTACTCAAAATGCTCTGTTCCACCTTGTGATGTCATGAAGTGGTAGGTTAACAGCTCCTTTTACATTTAGTTCAGTAGAAATGACAAAGTGTAGAGTAGAGAATTCCAGAGCTAAAATTATCCAAATGATTCTAGTGAATGTGTGTGGAGTTTAAAAACACAATGGAGCACTTCCTGCATTACTACCACATGACATCAGAAAGTGGAACCGAGTGTTTTCCATTTCAGAGAAGAACACAGCCTAAATATGCAGGATTTGTGTGTTTAATGTGTGAATGAAACAAAACGCAACTCCAGGTATGATTTTGATCAGAAAATAACATTATAACGTAGATCAGAAGAATTAAATTAGAAAAGTGGCTTTGTCCCAGGTTTTAAGGGGCAGAAAGAGAGCTCATATAATTTTAAACAGGTTAAGTTAATAATATTTTTAGATTATTATTTTAGTTTGAAACATTTTCATTAGAATTTAGTAATAATGTAAATCACACTTAAAATGTCAGTTAATTGCACAGTACGCTTTTAAGCTACATTGGGATCACAAATCATTGCATTCTTTGTTCCAGTCCCAAATCAGGATAAATTACATTAAGAGTAACATCTGGCATAAACCCATATGCAAAATCAATATGCAGATGACTCTAGTGGGTGGACTATTTGCAATTGGACAAAATGGAAATCTTAAAAACACATTATCTTGATTTACAGCCCTTATGTTGTGATGTTTAGTTAATGATAAATTTCTTTGGGTCTTTCAAACAGGACGCCTTAGGGTGAAAGGGGGAGGAAGGGGCGCAGATGAGCGGAGACACTTGTTCTACTGGAAACCATCTGTTGGACGAGTCAAAGAGTCACAAGGCTGTCTCTGCTGCAGGCATTTCCTCTTGGATCAGAGCGGGAGGGGAGGGAGAGAGAGGAGAAGGGAGGCGGAGAGGGCACTGTCTGTACGTCTTTGGGACCCTTTTTCTTTCAGACACACTCAAACGCACACACACAAAAGGCACAAGCTCTTTAAGTCTGTGTTTATAAAGAGGAAGTTCACCCTTACAGCAGGTCAAGCCAAGAAACATGTTTTAAAATAGAGAGACCAGAAAGACATGACATAAAATGTAGTGAACTGTGGTTTTAAGGAGAAACACTGGCTTGTAATTAGTGATATTCTAAAAGAAAATCATTGGACATTTTATTTATTATTATTTGATCAATGTTTCTTTAAAGGTCCTATATTATGCTAAATTGATTCTTTTGAGATTTTAGCCATGTTAAAACATTATTACCTCCTCAAAAACACACCTGGATTTGTGTTTTGTTTCATTCACACATTTGAGTAAACCTTTATTATTGGTATGTCTACATCTTTAATGCATAAAATCCTCTGTTCCACCTGGTGATGTCATGAAGTTGTTGTTTGCAAGTTAACAGCTACATTTTACCTTTTGTTAAACAGAGATTGGCAATTCCAGGTTTGAAATTATCCAGATGATGTTAGTGAAGGTGTATGGAGTTTAAAAACTGTGTTTAAAAACACAGTGGAGCACTTCCTGCATTACCAGCACATGACATCACAAGATGGAACAGAGTGTTTTCTGTTAGAGAGAAGAAATCCTAATAAAATGCAGGATAAACATGTGAGAATGAAACAAACAAACAAAAAATCCATAAACAGCACTATAAAATAGATAAGAAAATAGCATAACATGGGCCCTTTAAATTCAATAGTTCTGCATGAATATTTAACATTTGGACTTTTGTTTTGGCTCTATTTTAGAAGCCTTAATTAACCTATTTACCAGTGCCCAATTTATATATTTATAAATGGTTATGAACTCACCGGATGTTGCATAATGTAGGGCTGATGTGCCATCCAGGAATGACTCTGTACCTGTAACAAAGCAAAACACATTTTGATTTACTAAACACATCATTGTATTCCTATTTGTTAATAAATGGATAGAAGATTGCAACTGGAAGGGCATCAGTTGTAAATATGCATTATGGTTAATCAATATGTAAATCACTGCATTAAAACGGGGCAGATGGTTCGCTGTGGCAATGCTGGGCGCATAATGTCTTCACTATAGGCCTGTCACAATAACAAATTTTCAAGCACGATATACCGCTGACACAAAGCTGAAGAATCCCAGTAAAGCCATTTTTAAATATACAGTATCAGTAAAATAGTACAAGCTCCAACCACTAAAATAATAATTATACATTATATACATATAACACTTGTATAGCGCATTTTGTGACACTAAAAGAATTGACACACAAATGCTTCACCCAGTTCAAAACAAACAAAACACAAATGAAAAAACTGATTTTGAAGAAGGTGGAATGAACAGATAAATATCCATAGCATCTATTTATTCTACTCTCTACAGCTCAAATCTTACATTATTACATAAATATGACCAAAATCTTTCATAATTGAATGATAAGCCAATAATATAATTCACTACTTTACATTTATTTTTTAAAAGCTAAAACACAGACCATAATTAACCTCTTTACTAAGTATGTATGTTAGTAAAAATGCATTTTGTAATAATTTGAATAATTCTAGTCCTATGACCCTAACCACACTAACCAATGACTAACCTCATTCAAACCATTAAGCAACCATGTAAGCTTCTGTTTATTAAAGTACATTTGAGGACATGCTGTTTATAGTCTATGACACATTCCCCAATGTTGTTACAAATGCATTATTAGATAAGGCTATTTCTGCCATTTTATTTTAATATAATCTGAAAATACTCCTCTAATTGCCTGTTATCCCCCCTGTCCCTGTCATTCACCACACAAGATTTTGGGACATATGCCGTCTGGCTGCTGACAAAATTATCCAACTCGTTTGGGGCCAAATTGGTCCACCCGTGTTGCTATGGCAGCAGGGCTTTAAACAGTGACCTCATCTGCCGAGAAGTGCCCGTCCTCTGGATATTTATCTCTCTCTCTCTCTCTGTGTTTTCTCCTCCTCTCTTTTTTCTTCTTTTTTGGGGGTTGTAATGTGCTGCTTTTTGACTGAATGACATCCAGAGTTGGAGTGAGCTGAGCCTCTTGACAGTGGCTGGTAAAAGGCCTGACCCTGCCTCCTGGAGAGACGAGAGCAGCGGTAATACAATTTGTCCCATTAGTCTTTTGTTAGAGGACCACACTAAAGGTTTCACTGGTATGGTTACAGTAGCAGTGCCCATCTTTTCTCTATTTTTAAACATTATTGATTTGAACCAACCAAGTTATGGCATATATTAAAGGTCCTACTATATATTACGCAAAATTAACTCTCGTGAGCTTGTGTCATCAAAAACATACCTGGAGTTGTGTTTTGTTTCATTCACATTGGTGAATTCACATTTGTTAACCCTTTGTTATTAGTCCATCTACATCTCCAAAGCTTGAAATGCTCTGTTCCACCTTGTGCTGTCACTAAATGGTAGTATTCACATTAACAGCTACCTTTTACCTTTGGTTCAGTAGAAATGGGATGTTACTGAGATCATTCTAGTGAAGGTGCATGGTGCATTTCATGTATTACCAAATGACATCACAAGGTGGAACAGAGTGTTTTTTTGTTTGAGAGAAGAACTTAGCTTAATATAAACCCTTAAAACCACATTTGTTGTTTTTAGAGAGAAAGAGGAGCAGAGACAGTTGTGAGATAGCAATGCATTGACATCTGGGACTTGTACTAGACTTAGACTTAGACAAGCTATTGATCCACAAGGGAAATTATTTGAACACAGTAGCTCTCTCGTCACAATATAATATGATAACAAAGAGTAAAAAATATAAATGGTGATAATAAATTCTAATAATTCTAATAAGTAGCAAAGTAACTACTCAGTATCTCATTTCATTTGAAGTAAATAGACCTGAGTTTTACTTAATTACAAATACTTAACTGGAACAAAGTGAGAACTGACACTTTGCTTCCATATGCTGAAGTGGAGTTTCTCAAAAAGTGCCTTACATTCAAATATACAGATAAATATTATATATAGGCAAAGACTATGGTAAAGAGGAACTACAGAGGAACAAACTGCACTTTTTCTCAGAATATATGACTGTCACTAACTGGAATACAACTGGACTTAACACAAAACCTTGAATAATGTTTTCTTTAGAAGATAAAGTTCCTAAAAACTTTATATCAAAAACATCTGCTGAGGCTGGCTTTTTGTGCCGCTAAAATACTAAACAAGAAACTCACATCCTCCCATAAAGGAAAACCACTTATCTCAATGCTCCATGTCTTGTCAAGGGACTGTTTCAGTAATAAGAAATGCGTCAAGAACAGAGCCATGAGCGTGATGTGGACCACGCATAGCCACAGTTACCATGTATTTGCTCCTCTTTGCATCTGAATTAAAAATATAAAACATACATTGATTCTTTAAAGGTCCTACATTACACAAAATTGACTTGTGGAAGCTTTAAGTCATGTTATAAAGCTGTTACCACATCAAAAATATACCTGGAGTTGCCTTTTCTTTCATTCACACGTTTGAGTAATAATTTATTAGTAGCCCATCTACATCTGTAAAGCTCAAAATGCTCTGTTCAACCTTGTGATGTCATGAAGTGGTAGTTTTCAAGTTTTGTTTAGCAGAGATCATCCGAATGATTCCACAGAAGGTGTATAGAGTTTAAAAACACAGTGGAGCACTTCTTGCATTACCAGATGACATAACAAGGTAGAACAGTTTTTTATGTAAACATGTTTAAATGAAACAAAACACAACTCCAGGTATGTTTGTGATAAGGAAACAACATTATAACATAGACCACAAAATAGCGCAATATGGGCCCTTTAAAAACAGGAGCTTTTTACCATATTTGGAGACAAGTTCAAAAAGTATAGCATGCTGCATGACTCAGCTGTAGGCACTAGTGTTTATCCATTTAGCAAATGTCACGTAATATCCTGGACAATAATTTAATGCTCTGAAATCAAATAAAAGAATGTAAAGATGATATAAATTTTAGCAGTAGCACATCTAATTGTAGATTGGGACTAATTGTTGTCTACTTGTAACCACACAATTGACTATCTAGCTAATCTCTCACCATTCATTTTGTGACTCTGCTTTCATTTGTGTTAGTAATTTTTATAGTAACACAATCAAAAATGATTGTGTTTTGAGTAACTATCCAATACCAATCAATCCCAGTGGAGTGGAGATTATAATTGAAGCAAAGTACCAATATTATCTGATCCAAATGTTCTTTGGAGTAGCTCTGGAATAAAACTGTGTAAACTAAAATAAGATTTTGCGACAGATTTACCATTAGCAGTGGCCAGCAAAGAGTATTTTAATACAGTGGCTGCCAACCTTTTGTCTTGAGTACGTATTTCTGTTTAGTAGCTTATAGTCAATTATTGCCAGTATATTTTCTTGTTTTAGTTATATTATCTCCAAAATCATCCAACAAAAAAACTCATTTAGGATGTGGAAAAAAAATCTGAATCTTTATATTCAAATGTAATTCAATTTTACGTTAAAGCTAAAATCCCCCTTAGGCAGTGCTCACTGGATTTAAGTACAAACATTATGAAACATTCAGCATCAGTAGTTAGTAGTATTTTATTACAGAAGTTCCCAACTTTCTTTGTGCTGAATACTCCCTAATCTTTATCTCAATCATTGTCAATAAATGTACTAGCTTATTATGTCCAAATTCATCTTACAAAATCTTAATTAGGATGTAATATTTACTTTAATAACACTTCATCAGTAGTTGCCTGTTAATATTCATTTAAAATATTAATTAAATGGCCTAATTCTTAACTAATATCCTGAGCAAATATCCTGAACAAATATCCTGAACAAATATCCCGAACCAATATCCGATCTAGTATCAGTGCATTTCTATTTCATATTTCATATATAGTCTATCTATAGGTGTTTCGTACCTGATAAGCAGAAACTGGAGACATATATGGTGGCATGGTTGGCTGCACTGTCATTATCCTGTTGGTGACTGGATACGGAGAGGAGTAATACCTGGGCACAATACACAGTACAAATCAATGAGTGATTTTCTGTATAGAAGGAAGCCTATGTATTTCTGTAATAATGTCAGTAAGTCCTACCCATTCTGTAATGCAGCTGTTGAGGGGTCATAGGTCAGAGTCATTGTGCCCTACAAAGAAAAAACAACAACATTTAAACTGATAAATTATGGATTGAAAACATTGCAGGACTTTGCAAAATAAAAAGTAATGTCAAAATTGTAAATAAATTTGTCCCCCAAGTTTATGGCCTGCTAAAATAAATAAGTAAACATCATGTTATTATTGACTTAGAGCTGGGCTATTAATCAAATTAATTAGATTAATTTGTGTTTTTAATAATCAAGATTTTGAAACATTGCAAGATTGTGAAATTGAGGATTATTATGAAACACATTCTTACTTGCAAGTGGGGTTATTGTGCAATTAAACAAGTGACACAGTGAAAAAATAATAATTTGAAACTATTAAAATTAAAAGCATTTTACATGATCCTAAATTAACAGGATATGATATTTAATTATCCAGTATGTGCAAACATTTTTGACTTTGTGTTTTGGCCATATCACCCATCACTATACTGACTGAATATATGATTGCCAGGTTCCATTGCAGACTGTAAAACATTTTATGAGTAACAGCAGCTAAACACACGTGGTATATAATTAATTACATCATCAGTGTTGAATACAATAATACTATAATAATTTTGGTAAATATCAATCCCGCCATCATCATATTATCATACCACTATGATAAAAAAAAACATTATACTCTGTTTACACAATAGAATGTCATTTACAACATTAAATCATAGTACTTCCTTTAATATTACCTTGCTCTGTTGTCCGTGTAGGTTCCATAATGGTCCATGGGCACTTAATATACTAGTCTATGTGCTCTTATACTTGTTATGATACAGCTCAAGATCATTATAAAACTATTCAGGAAAGATTTATCCTGAATCCTGAATTATCCTGTGAATGTGCCTTTTCTAGTATTGATACTTTCTCAAATGAGTATCTAGTTTTGATACTAGTTTTAGTATTGATTAGTGTATGATTTCCAAGCCTACCTGTAACATTTAGTGTATAACTGAGTGCACTTACTAGTCTCAAGTCTCCTGTCTGTCCGTTGGGAACAAACCCGCTGTGCCCATGTTTCTTTCTTTGGCTGTCTGCGAACTTACACAGCAGCGGTTGTGATGGAGCTGGAATACACAAGAGGAACAGCTGTGGCTAAAACATCATTAAAGACAACTATTTCAATCTGTAACACTATTTTTAGACAGGAAGGTACAGTTCTTTCTTTCTTACCAAGCCCTCCGGAGCCAATCTTGATGAATTTGCCGTTGAAGTGGGCGATGACTGCGTTGCACTGCTCCGTGGTGTCCATCCTAAAGAGAGAAGATGAGCCGTGACTCATTGTATACTCTCCACAGCATGACTTTGCACAAAACACTTTGTAGCAGGCTCCAAACAGCACTGACTGAGCAACCTTTGGCTTTTCATGCTCAAATTAAAGATGTCTGTGGTTGAAGTTCACATTTAGTGCAGTAATTAAAGAGCCCTTATTCCACTATTTTCTGATCTATGGTATAATGTTGTTTCTAGGGATGTAACAATAACTAAAATCGTCATATCGTATCATCAAAAGTCTCACAATATCGTGGCTGTCACAGTATATCAAATTACAAGTGACTTTGCTTTATAGTAGCAACAGCTTATGAACATTGGAAACTACATATCCCATGATTCATTTCAGTGCAGACAACATGAAGAGATATGTTTTTTACTTGAATTCTTGGGATTATGACGTAAATAATTCACACCAAAATCTTGTCAAGGTATTTTAAAAGCAGAAACATGTCCTATCTACAATCAGCCTCTCCAAAATTTTGCAAATATTGTACTGTGAGATGCATATTGTGATAATATCGTACTGAGAGAGTTGGATATCATTACATCCCTAGTTATTTCCAAATCACAAAATAACTGGAGTTTTGTTTTGTTTATTTCACACATTTTAACCCACAAATCCTGCATATTTAGGCTGAGATCTTCTCTCAAACAGAAAACACTCCAATGTGTTGTCATGCAATGTGGTAATACAGTTCAACTGTGCTTTTAAAATCCATACACCTTCACTAGAATTGTTAGGATTATTTCAGTCCTGGAATTGCAAATCTCTACTGAACAAAAGGAAAAAGGCAACTGTAAACTACTGCTTCATGGCATCACAAGGTGGAACTGAGCATTTTGAGGAGATGTAGACAAGAGTTACTTAAACATGTGTGAATGAAACCAAACACAACTCCAGGTATGTTTTTGAGATGGTAACATTATAACATGGCTTAAAGCTACACCAGAGGCAATTATGCATAATGTAGGACTTTCAAATGTTGTCATGGAGAGATAATGTTAACACTGGGTTAGTAAAAAGAAGCACATGATTTCCAAGTAAAACCATACAAAAACGATTTCTTCAAAACATGTCACATTTTAGCAGATCAGATGGTAATGTTAAACATAATTTGGCTTTTTTCTTATTTTGTTCTCATGATAAAATTACCATTGCAGTAATCTCAATTATAGGGCAATGTGTACACTTCATCATATTATTCAGAGTAGCAGTTAGATACTTGGAAATTAGTTGTAACTATTTTTATGTAAATTTGGTACTTAAGAAGAAACAAAAGTTATAGACACAAAATATTTAAGGGTAGGTTCACAATTGCACCTGTTGCACCTCAACCTTGTGACTAAGCTGGGACTACACCCGAAAATGAAACCTGGGCTAGACCAGAACTAAACCATGACTACATAAGGGCTAAACCAGAGAAGGTATGAACGCACCCTAAATATGCATTAAGAAGAAAACATTCATTACATTACTTTGACATCGCCCATGACTGGTATTGTTGCTACTGTGATTAATAAAACTAACATCAATACTACAGCTGTTGCTAATTTTGCAACTACTTCTTTTACATATATATTTTATTTTCATGTGTCTTTAGCTACAAACCAAAGTTGCCCTCTGCTCTAAAGTAAAATAAGACTTCAAATGGGCTAATTGTGGCACATGCATATTGTATATTAATTAATAAGCATTGTCCCTTTAAAGGTGCAGTGTGTAAGTTTTTTGATGGAGGGTCTGCCATCTGTGTGTCTTCATGTCCCACAGTATTGCATTAAACTTCATATGTGTTAAATATGTGAACCACCAGGACAAGTTACACGTCAGATCTCTGAAAAAGAATGTTCATTCACAGTACTAATGCATGCTATTCAAGGTATTTCTGTGTAATAAAAAAGGCACGCCATACTGTGGAACATTCTGGGCAAAGCTATAACATCTCTATAAGACATATAAGTCGCAGAACCCTCTACCAGAAAAGTTACTCATTAGTACTGCCAAAATTTGCTTAGTTCAGTACAAAAGACAACTACACAATCTCAAAGTGTTTTTAATGTGGTTTGTGTTACAGACCTGGCGAAGCCCACCCCCCGGCTGTTCCCACTGTAGTCCCGGAGGATACGAGTGGAGACCACCGCTCCAAAAGGCTGCAGCATGTTCTCCAGCTCCTTCTCATCCACAGACAGAGGCAGGTTAGACAGGTACAGGTTTGTGGGGTCCTGCTCCTGTTGCTGGAAAACAAATATTACAAATATGAGATACAGTAAATTAGAAAAAGAACACTGTAATAGGAACAAAATGTGTATAATTTGGATTTAATGGAGAGTTTGGAGGTGTTTTTATTTACCCTCCAAACACAATATTTATGCTAATGGAAGGTGAATCATAAAAGGGGTGAGGGTGATTAAAGAAGTTGGGTGGGCGTGAAAAAAACTGAAATTTTGAGTTGTGAACTCTCTACTTACCAATTCATACTGTTGTTGTGTCCTTGGGCAAAACACTTCACCTTTCCTGGCTGTGTGGATGTGTTTATGTGATGTTTGAGGCCATAGGTGCAGAAGGGAAAGCTACCTCTCTTATTCAGCCCCAGGCCCCCTACAGAAGCTAGAGATGCTCTGTTTCACTGAGTGAAAAAATAATGTACTAAATTGTGAAGCATCTTTGAGTTTCTGTACAAACCTACATTATTAAAATAGGACTGTTTTCTTTACTATATTCATGTTTAAAGAATATTCATTTAGGGATGTTTTAGTCCAAAAATCTGTATTACAAAGTGCATGGTGCCTTAGAATTACTTTAGTCTTTATTTTTAGTCTAATAAGTGAAAGTATTAACATGTAAATAAAATGGCGCCTGGTGCATTTCCTCTTATGTGGCAATACAGTGGGGCCAAACAGCCTGCTCCTCTGCACTGAGCCTCTCTACAGACGCTCCTGGAAACAGCAGGAGAGGGCTGTAGCCTAGCTACCGCCACACTCGCCCTGCGCTCTGTGCTGTTTGTTCCCAACAAGCCTCTTGCATTTCTCCAGAGAACAAGCTCTCATAAATGAACCCTCTCCTCTGAATCTGAACAGAGGCAGAGTCGGAGAAATCTGATGATCTACACAATTTCCACTTCCCACTGTGAGGCAAATGCCAGCTGTGGGAGAGGAACTGCATCTAAAAATATGAAGAAAGTGTAAAAGCAGCATCCTGCTATAAGAGTGCATTATAGGTGGGAGGTGTCTGTATCCATAGTGTTAACCTGTAATAATGGTGCGATAACACGCTATGGCAGCCCCCTGAGGTGATCTGTGGAGCTGTGAGGAGGTGCTGGTCCAAAGCCGACTGGTTATTTGGCAAAGCGAGAAGTGACATCTGTTTCTACAGTAACGTAAAAGGGGTCACGAGGAGAACAGCTTGTGAGGTCATGTGACCAGCCTAATGTCACTCTCCATACAGAATACATATATGCATGCATTACTGAATAAGACTACACAGACCAGCCATAAAAGCACATGTTTTATACAAACTCACCTTGGCCATCTGTGCCTGGATGCCGCTGGTTTTGAGCGCGTGCACTGCCTTCAGAGCAGCGGCCGGGCTGTCGAAGTCCACAAAACCATAACCTATAAAACAAAGGCAACACTCATTTCATTTTAATGTATTTATTTTGAGTAGATAATGAACACAGGAAGTACGTATACATGTATCTCAGTACACTTTTTTTTTTTTTTCACTTTTTTTTTCTTATTTACCAGTAAAAAGGAGTGGGAAGAAGAAGACGTATTAAATCCCACCCCATTAGAACATAAGCTAAATGCCCTGTTTATGCTATCTTTTTAAGTTGAACAAAAGTATAATAAATTCATTATTTTCATGACAATAACTGCATCAGAACATCAATGACAATAAATTAGATGTACAGTGTTACTATAAGTAGCAATTAGGCATTTTAGGTTGCAACAAAAAGAAAAACAACATTATGTGACACTAAGTACATAGCACTGATGCTACAACCTGATGTACAATGCATCTCTCTTGTTAAGGTTAATGCAAAAATTGTGCTCTGTCCCTGTCTCAAAAAAAAAAAAAAAAAATATATATATATATATATATATATATATATATAATATATATATATATATATATATATATATATATATATATATATATATATATATATATATATAAATAAAGTAATAGGCAACAAATTATACAACTATTGTTAGTGATATGTATGAAAATCCATTTATAATTTGTCCAAGCTTGGGAGCAGCACAAAGGGTACACATGGCTCAATATCATGTACACAAAACGTGTATGAGTAAGTAAAATATGATCATAACCATTAAAGAAATAGTAATTACTTCAAGTTGCAGACTCTCCAGCTGGAAGTGCCTCAAGTAAAAAACGAAATGAAACAAGACTCCTGATTGCTGCATCATATTAGAGCATATTCTTGTCTTGAGTGTATTTGGACCAATTAGATGTTCTATTTTGTCTTGTAAGTTACATAATTACTGAGAGAAACTTGAAGTGGGAATATGACATGGTAACTCTCTGAATATTGATGATTAAATATCTTTACTGACCTTTACATTTGTTGGTTGTCTTGTCCAGGATTGCCTTTGCTGACTGAATCTTGCCATACCTAGAAGTAAATGAGAATTAGAAAATCCTTCTAGAGTTGGGTAATGCTCATCAACTCAGTATTGACAGTAATAGATGTTTCTAACCTGCTTTTAGAATCATAACATGAGTGCTCTTATAATATAGGGACTCTGCTAATGTAGTTCTGATAAAGACATTAATGTCTAATAGATGCCTTATATTTGAGTTATTATACTGCCTTCTGTACTTAACATTTTGTATTGATTATTAGAATGAATGCATTGAAATTTCCAATTTCCATTGTGGTTTTGAATATATTAGCAGGTCAGAATAGTCATGTCTTCAGTCTGAAATATAATGGACCTCAACAGTGATTGCCCACCCAAAAGTTTGGAAACTAAATTTCCCATTCATTTTTCTCATAGACTTTCTGAAAAAAATATATATTAAAAGTTCAAAAGCTTGTTTAAGGCTAATCAGCTATGTGGTAACTGCCTCAAGACCACCTCCAGTTTTACTTAAAATCCAGTTTTACTTAAAATCTGAAACTTTATAAACCACAAAGTTATGACAATTTTTATTTTTATTTAACAGAATCGTGCATGTTAAACAGCCTTTTTGGACTTAACTCCGAACTCTTAATATTGGAATTTTTGAATGAACTGGAGCAGGCTGCCACTGTTGAGCTCTGTTATGCATATGAAGCATGTGTATGCATACTATATAAATTTCTCTTATTTATAAGAGTTGCAAACATTTTATGGGAAAATATGCTGAAAATAAAATGACAATTACGTTAATTTTTGTTTTCTATCTGCCATTTTCAGTGTTAGTGTTGTAGGTACTTTACAATATATTGTAACCAGGTCCCCTGTTTGGTTTTATTCAGACTTCATAGACTTGACTATGGCAGCTGTGATGGGCTATCAGAGCATGCAGTATAGCACGCCCAGTGAATGCCCAGCTTACATCACCATTCAGAGCCTGTTGCTATGAAAAGCGCTTTCATTTCTGCTTTGTGCTGGCAAACACTGTTGGGAACATGAACAAAACACAAGCAAACAGGACACAAACAGCTGCTACCGCTGTTCCTGGTTATATAGCAGAGCGGCTGGGCCCATATGCTCCCCATTCACAGGCGAAATGACGGTACAAAACTGCGCTAATTATGGCGAGATCCACCACACTCACCACTCTCACTGGTATCACGTATCGAACATGAAGTTTTTACAGAGCTGTGTAATCTTTGCGTAAAACAATCATCTTTGCTGTCCACCCCACTCACCACACCAGAGCCACGTGTTTCCATGGACTTTATGGAGCTACGGTGGTTGGAGAGTTTTATGTTCCAGAGAAAACTATGGCGAACCAGTGTGTTATGAGTGATGTGGCAGGACGTGGCAGACGATAATCAGCCTGTATTTTATTTGTGTTAAAGAGTGGTTTTCTGATGTGTTGGAATAGAGAAAAAAGAGAGACATTCATATTGCATTAGTTTTATGGGGACAGTGCTTATTAATATTTTTTTGTTGTGTATAATAAAAAAAAAAGCATAAACAATACTAAAGTGGCTTTAGAACCTGATAATTGTATTGGTAACTTGGTCATTTGACATTTGAATCATACATAACAAGCTCTTCAAATGTTGCCATCTTAAACCCACTGATTAAAGTGTATGATATAGTAAAAAAAAAAAAAACTGTAACACTGAAATTCCCCTATTGTGGGACAAATTTTCCTCAATCACATCTTTATTTGCATAAAAATGGAAAGTAACGTGGAAATTTGTTGCCATAGGCTGCCCAGATTAAGTGTTTTGCCCATGGATACAAGCACAGTATGCACTGGTTACAGTGGGGATTAAACGGCCCATATTAGGCTATTTTCTGATCTGTTATAATATTGTTTCATCATCAAAAACATACCTGGGGTTGTGTTTTGTTTCAATGACATGACCACACAAACTCTGCGTTTTTTTGTCAGTCTGCCCCAGGGCAGCTGTGGCTACAATAGCAGCTCACCAGCACTGAGTGTGGAGTGAATGAATAATGCTCTGTAAAGCGCTCTGGGTGTCTCGAAAGGCATTATATGTGTGTGTATATATATATATATATATTATATATATATATATATATATATATATATATATTATATATATATATATAATATATGTGTGTGTGTGTGTATATATATATATATATATATGTGTGTGTGTGTGCATATATATGTGCAACTTAAATATTATTATAAATTATTAATTAATCATTGCATATATATATATATATATATATATATATATATATATATATGCAAGGATTAATTAATAATTTATAATAATATTTAAGTTTAAGTTCTTCTCTGAAACTGAAAACACTCATACAGAAAGTGCTCCACTATGTTTTTAAAATTCTACTCCTTCACTAGAATCATTGGGATAATTTTAGTGGAATGGAATTGTCCATTTCTACTGAAATAATGATAAAAACTAGTGCTTCATGACATCACAAGGTGGAACAGAGCATTTTGAGCTTTGGAGATAGACAATAACAAAGAATTACTCAAACATAGGTAAATGAGACAAAACATAATTCCAGGCATGTTTTTATGTGGAAACATTATAACATGGTTTCAAGCTCACAAGAGTGAATTAAAATTTATATAGGACCTTTAAACGGCTACGTTTCATATGAGTGGTCAAATGCTTTACCACTGTGCCGCGGCTCTCACCAAACATCTGACTAGATTTCTCAAATAAACATTTAAAGTTATATTGTTTGAATTTGTTATTGTTATTGTTTGTTGTCTGAGCAAAGCATTGCAACATTATTTAGATACTACACAGGAAATGCTATTATGCTAAATATAGATCAACCCTTATTTTGTAATAGTGAGTCAATTCTAACACTCTTATTCTTCTAGATCATTCACATTTTCAGTGTAATCCTAAATTTAACCAACATGATATTTTCTCAAATCCCTCCCACATTTTTCTACTGACTCACAGGCGCCACACAGGACTTCAAACCTATGACAAAGTGCTGATGTAACGCGTCACAGAAACCCAGAGGTGGATGAAGCATTCACTTTTGTTACTTAAAGGTGCACTGCGTAACTTTTGTGGTAGAGGGTCCGCTGTCTGCTTGTCTCATTGCTTTGCCTGGGATGTTCCACAGTATGGCATTAAACAAATATATCTTGTATGTATTCGTTTACAGGTTTTTATTTCTCAAACGTACCTCAAAGATATGTGTTCTTACTGTGAGTGGGGCTAATTCTCCACAGATTTGACCTGTAACTTGGCCTGGTGATGTGGTCTGCTTGTCTCCATGGAGATAGTTAAATTAAATGCCATACTGTAGAACATTCTGAGAAAAACAATAATATTTACATGGAGTCAAGCAGGTGATGGACCCTCTACCAGAAACGTTACACAGTGTACCTTTAAGTAAAAGTACAGATACTCAAGTAAAAGTAAAGGTATCACAGGAAAAAATCTACTTAAGTAAAACTATTGAAGCACCTGTCTAAAAATGAACTTTAAGAGTAAAAAGTAAAAGTAGTTTGCAGAGATTTTTAGAACAATTAAAGTATCCAGATCTAAAATGTAGTTGAGTAGAAAGTACAGATAACTGCTCTCCAATGTAGTGAAGTAAAAGTAAAGTATCCACTATAAAATGTACTTAAGGGTGCATTTTGCAACTTTTCTGGTGGAGGGTCTGCTACCTGCCTGGTCTCTGTGAAGATATAATTGCTTTGGAATGTTCCAGAGTATGGCATTAAACATTTCCATCTAGCATTTCCATTGTTTCTATTACTCAAAAATAAAATAATACCTTCTGTGAATAGGGACGTCTCTCCAGTGACTTAACTTGCTTGTCTCGCTTGTGATAGATAAGTTTAATCTACACTGTGGAACATTCTAGACAAAGCAATAACATTTCCATGGTGATAAGCCGGTGGCAGACCCTCCACTAAAAATGCTACACTGTGCACATTTAAAGTAGAGCTTCCTAAAAATTGTACTTGAGTGTTGTCATTTTACTTTTGCACTTCGTTATCCACCACTGTATAATCCTCCTCCGTGTGTGTTTGTGCGACTCACTGGTGGCAGAGCTTGACTAGGTCCAGGTCTGTGGTGGCGGGGGGCAGTCCTCGGATGTACAAGTTGGTTTTGCTGAGCTGCTCCAGACCCGTGCTGCTGCTGTTACTGCTGCTGGGACTGGAAGGAGTCATGGGGTAGGACTGTACAAAGGAAAACCACTGTTAGGAAGTCAGGATACAACAGATAAGCTAATTTAAACCCCTGGGCTAGGAGTGATAACAACATGAGTGTGGGAGCCAGTGAAGAGTCAGGATGTATGCTACAACTTGTTCTATAATATATATATATATATATATATATATATATATATATATATATATATATATATATATATATATATATATATATATATATATATATATATATATATATATATATATATATATATACTCAAGTTCATATGCTAACTAATATCCATATTTCAGACAGTCTATGAGAAAAATTTATATTAATTTTTTTCTGGAATTCCAAGCTGGGCAGTCACTGTTGAGCTCCATAATTGAACACTGCAAAACGTCATACTGAATGGCTATTTGCATGAATGATGATAGTAATAGGACTAATACATGTTTGTGCTTGTGGTACTCAAACTAGTATTACATGCTTTCTATGACATCTTACATATGAAGATGTAGGATGGTAATGGAACAAAAAATAGGAGGTATTGTCGTAGTAGTTGTTGTTGTAGGTCCTATGTCATTCTAAATGCCATGGAAGTACATTAACTATTTACATTGATGTAAAGCAGTGATTTTATACAAGAGGGGGTGACCTATTATGTTCAGTGGAGGCCTATATTTTGTTTCAACAATGTGTAATGGTAACACATATAAGGAAGATAAGAAACCATTAAGAAAAATTCCCTCTTCTACCATGATATATTTTTTTAAAGGTGCCACTGAGTTAGCCAGACTGGTGCCACCTAGTACCTCCGCTCAATTTAATTTCTCTCCAGTAACTAGGTCAGGAATTGGAATATACTAGACGGTTTGCAAAAATCCTGGAAGTTGTAGACCGCGCACCAGCCAATCAGAGAAGAGCTTTGAAGCCATGATGTCAAACTCAAGCGCCTGTCTGGGTCCCTTTTGTGGTACAGCACAACAGTAAACAAAGCTGTCGAAATGGCTGTAGACGAAGCCATACATTCTGTGTTGGCAACGATTCCTGAGATTGAGGATTTAAAGCTGGATCAAAGAGAATGTTTGGTGAATTTTTTCAAGGGGAAAGACGTTATTGCCCTTCTTCCTATGGGATTTGGCACATTACATGGAACACGACCAAATAGCAGCGATTGGTTAAATAAAAAAGTACCCGCCTACTGTTGAGCGAATGAAGCTTAATGCTGCAAGGTCAGGCAGTTTCCACAAAGTGAAACCGGCTGATGAATCAGGCTAACTCTGTAACCTTTCCGTAGTCGGTCCGTCACTTTCTTGTTTCTATAGAAATGTCACTGCTCCACAGTACTCCACAAAGTTCCACAGTATGACAGATATAAAAATTCTGGCCTGGATTCGTCTCCATGATGATAAAAAGGTTTAATGCCATACTGTGAAACATTCCAGACAATGCAGTAACATCTCCATGGAGAAAAAAATTTGACGGACCCCCCACCAGAAAAATTACACAATGCACCTTTGATATTTAACAAAATAAAAAACTGAAAAATAATAATTTGGTTGAATTTTTTATAAAACGAGCAGTTCAATTTTGCTTCACTGTACTGCTTGAACCCTTCTGTTTTTTTTCTGTGCTCTTCCTCTGATGTTGAGTCCTTTTAAGATGACAGACATTGAGAATAACCATCCACAGACAGACTGAAGTTGTTCTCATTTGTGACACATCTGAAGCTTAGTTTAAGTCTGTGGCAAGTTTAAAGCTTTAGCCTTTGAAGAAAAGAAAATATCCTGTCAGTCGATACAACAGGCGTATTTCTGCATCTGGGTCTGTTTTGGCGATTAAAAGATCTTTGCTGTTGTGTTGTATATCTGCATTTTTAAGCAGAAAAACCACGCAACACATTCCACTGCAAAAGCATTTCCTTCCCCTTACTCATTCATTAAAATAGCTTGTGGCGATTCCCGAACCCACTTCAGTTTCTGATCAAAGACAATACAATGGCACAATCGCACCATCTGTCTATAACCAAAGGCCACTCGACTCCAATGTGCCACAAATAAAACCAGGCCAAGACAAGAAGATATACTAGTATGTCTGTATCTTTGCATAGCTTCTGGAAATATTCAATATAGTGTTTCGAGAAAATGATTTGGAGTATGTCATGTTCTTGGATGTACAGTATATTGAGACCTGAACCTGTCTATCTTAACCAGGTTATTAACAGAAAATAGAATAATACACAAATTGCTTTATGCCTGCCCATTTGCATTGCCAAAATGCTTTAATCCACTAAATAAAGGACTTATTGTAAGTCAGAGTGCTTCGAATCTCTGTCTATTTAGACTTAGACAAAATTTATTGATCCACAAGGGAAATTATCTGGGCACAGTAGCTCACACATCACAATATATTATAATAACAAAGAGCAAAAATATAAATGGTAATAAATTCAAAGTAGTAAAATAGGAAGAGGCTGGTGTCAAATTTCTTTCTGTCAAAAATTTCTGTCAAAAATATTGTGTTAAAATCAACTAAAACACATCTAAAACATAAAAAATTGAGTGCAAATTCTTATGAAGCCTAAAATAAAGAAAAGCATGAACAAATTGTAATGTTTGGATCCTTATCTTTGTATAGGCATACATTAAAATGCTAAATCAAATTAAATAATAATAATAAAAAAATTTGCATAAAAGCGTATCTCTATTCTAGTGTCCTATGGTGGTTCAATGGGAGTTCCCTGATCACATATGGAGAATTGATCAGCTTGGCAGGCACATCTGTTACGCTTGTTATGTCTTCAGAGAGAGGTGAAGAGTCTTTACATATCTGCATTTGGTACAGCGTTATTACACAATAACTTTTTTAGAAAGGGTTCATGTCAGGTCTCTGTATCGCCCACAATTTTAGGAAGCACAGTGCATCTGCTTGGAAATCACAAACTGTTCGTAACACCTGCAATGGCAACTATAAGAGCGATGTGCTGCAGGGAATCCTATGGGGAATGTTAAAGGAATCGAGACATCAATCTTTACTGAAAAAATACCATCTAAATTTTAAAAAATAAAAAATAAAAACTGGCAGTAATAATAGCCCATTACATCCTGTGTTCACCAAATGAGAGATGCAGCACTTTTGCATTACCTCTCCCCCCAGAATACATTAACCTATGTAATGGCCTACTACAGTATCCGTCATCCGTATTGACCAGGGCTAAATGTGAATGGGCAAACGAGGTTACATGGACACACAGTATTAAACTATAGCTCTCAGCAGTTGGTTTCATCCTTCAGTTCAAGCCTATCCAGTCTGGCTGCAGCATTGACCATTCTACGTTTCATTTGACCTAATCCTCATTTGGTATTAAAGGCTTTGGTGGGACATGTATATGCAAATAAGCAAGTGGAAAATCAGCAAGGGCTTTCCAATGTCACCAGTGGCGTCTCGTATAGTGAGTGTACAATTTCAACTATCTGGCATAAACTGTCTGTAAAACATTGTTATAGATGAGCGGTAAAGGCCTACCTGCTTCCTATTGGTTGTCTTCAGAGGGTTTCCCGTGTTTGCAAAGATCATCCTGGAGGTTACAGATGTACTATGATATCTTAAGAGTACGAGTAAGAGACGCGCAGCGCAGATGTAGTGAAGTCAACTGTAAAAAATATATTCTTTTCAAAACATCTGCATACTGGACAAACTGGGCGAAAGACTAGTAAGGCTCGTAACTCCCTCCGCCCCGCATAGGTACTGACACATCTATACAGTCAGATCCACAGAGATGGACCAGCCCTCCGGTCCGCTTCATTGATCTACGACGTCCTGCTGCAGACCGCTCGCCAGTCCCACCTACTACGGGCTAAACCATTTGCGCCTGTGTAGGGTGCCAGCATCCGATACACAGTAATTACATTTGAGCACAGCTAGTCACAATACTATCTTTTATACGAGAAAGTAAATAAAAGTACAGACAAACACGGTTGGCGGCTTTATCACGCTGCGTAATTAGCGTTTGGTTAACTTTACGCACGTACGCTTGATTGTAGGCGCCTCCCGTGTTGTTGCCGTCCGCACATACCAAGCATTCTTCACCCCCACCTCCTCCAACCACACACACCCTCTTCCTCTTCCTACCCTTCCCCCATCCAAGCCCTACATGTCACCGAATCAGGATGCGATGAAATATAAGCAGGGCCTGGCCTGAGCTGGAGGTCACAGCGCCCCGTGAACACTTCCCACAGATTGGACTGAGCAACGCGTAATTAAAACAGGGAAATAATGTGAACTCTGCAATCTTGTTCTGTTGGTGCAGTTTAATTCAGAACTATTGCTTACATTGGATACATTCGTTAACTGGTCCACTATAATTGCAGTGCTCTAGCATCTCCAACATTTGTGTCTAGAATAATTAAATAAGCCAATGTGATTAAATGTACAAGAGTTGTTGTATTGGTGTTAACCTTTGACATGATTAATGCACTTTGACTAAACCAAGAAAATCCAGGACTAAACCCAAACTATATGGGACCACACCCTGCACCCGATTCAGGACTAAACTGAGGTCTTACCCCCAGATGATCCAGGGCCAAACCAGGACTGAATCAATATGAAACCCAGTGTAAACCAGGACTAACTCCACAAAGTTAACACAAACCAGTAGCCTACTGTAGCAGAACCAAGCACGTGACGCCATCCCTCAGGAAAGATATTGATGTGAATATCTGTGCATGTATAGATTCGGTGCTGGAACATTTTCTAATTAAAAGATTAATTAAAACATTATGAACTTCTAATTGACCATTGCTGAACATAAAAAAATGACATAGGCTATACTGTTTGTGTATTCTCTAAATGATCGATTATGATTGACTTTCATATGCATCAAAGGAAATGCTACAAACGCGATTGGATTTTGTTTGACCTCAAAGACCCACAGCGCTAGACAACATGAGTTTGGACACAAGCTACAAAAGCTGAAGCAGCAACAGGACCATCCCGACTCATTACCGCAAGAACTCCCCCTCAATGGGATCAATCAGGGGCCATTTCAAAGGTGCCCCATTCCTCACCATTCAGGCTTTCTTAAACCAACACTTGCTGTTTGATTGGACCTTTTATTGCAAAATTACACATTCAAGTGACAACAAAACACTATATGATTGCAAAAATATGTATATTTTGTAATGTTTAATCTTAACATTTTTCATATATTTTTCAAAGCTGTTTTTATTACAGTTTTGCTATATAAAAACATTCTCTCCAGTCTCGAATAACAAACTTAACTGCTGAATCAAACTGAGGATAAAAATACAAAACAGTAAAAATGAAAAATAAAATAATAAAAAATAACAAAAACAAATAGAAACAGAACAAAATACCCACACAAATAAAAATATAGGAAGACTGTCACAATATTTAATTAATATTAAAATAATTGATAAAAGGCTGCCAAACTGTATATAAAAGCTTTTTTCCTTTAATATATATATTTTTAGTTTGTTTGGTTTTTTTTTTTTTTTTTTTTTGAAGTGTCGTTAATGTCAAAAATGTCAATCACTTGTTATTATTTTGTGTTCTTTTTTTTCTACCTTGGATGTTTTAGGTTAATGCAAAGATTTAAATGCGGACTTATTCAGTAAAATTGATTTCCTTGATTTATTAACAAGCTATGACTTATATTCATTGTAAATTACTATATCCTTTGAAAGATATACGACCTCAGATAGCGTCTATATGGAGAAGTAGCCTCAGCATCTTGCATTAACACTTCGTACCACATCCACCCACAGGCAAACCAGCTGAGGTTACACCCATAAAACAAGGCCAGTTTCCCCTCAGTAATGCATAATTTAGTTCCACACCATATTATTGTTTATTGTGGGTGTTAATATACTAATTATGCATGTCTTCTTGGATTATTACTTAATTGACAAATGCAGTTCTCAAAGGAATTATGTGGTTTGGTTGGTTTTCATTTTATTTGCATATATGGTGTTATGTTATGTTATCCAACTCTATAATGTGAAAGAGAAATTTTGTTGGTTGAATTTGAGTTTAGTCTCAATACAACACTTTACACTCCCAAAAGTATTTTTTTTTCCACATTAATTTAGACATAATTAAAGGTGCATTGTTCCAGAAAGTTATTTATTCAATTATGGTTGTTTTTATTTCTCAAAACTTTCACAAAAAACATACATTAATAACGTGAGCAGACCCACTTCTCCACAGATCTGACCTGTAACTTGGCCTGGTGATGTGGCCTGCTTGTCTCCATGGTGATCGTTAAATTAAATGCAATACTGCAGATCAGTCCAAGAAAAAAAAAACAAACACACACATCTGCATGGACTCAAGCAGGTTAACTAAATGCTTCTGGGTGGTTTTCTGCAGAGTTATCATTTTTGCCACTCTGAGATTACTGTGCGCATGCCTATCTCGAAAACAAGATAACCATCCACGTGTTAATTTGTTAGAGAAAGAAACAAGATATTTATCATAACTTTGTAATTACTGGATACAGGCACAGGTTTTTGCATTTTTGTATTTGCAGCAATTTTCATTCACGCCTAAACCCATTCAAAGCTCAAAGCCATGCAAACTGCCATCAAACAGCCGGCTGCAGATCCTGATTTAAAAAGCAGAGCGCAGTCCAAATCCCATCAGGGTGCAGAGACGCGCTCAAAGCATCAGATTTCACCCCTGTATTTCCTCTGCTGCTCGGATTAAGGTTTCAGCTGGTGTCATGTTACAAACTGGCTGTGATGTCCACTCCATTGCCTCTTATTTCTTTATAAATCTACTTTTCCATGAAGTAGACCATCGTTATTGCACAGTTGCACATTACTTAAAGGTGCACTGCGCAGCGTTTCTGGTGGAGGGTTCGTTACACTCTTGTCTCCATGGAGATGTTATTGCTTTATTTTATTATTTATTATTTTTATTTTGCATTTATGTAACAACACATAACAATAAAAAGGGCACACTAGATAAAAAGTAGGTGCAAGAATAGGAAAAAAAAAAAAACCCCAAAAGGTCTTATATTAATACCTCCACCTATAAATGCATAAAATTGAACATTATAACTGGGAAATGTACCTTGGACTGTTCCATGATATGGCATTAAACATATTCATCTAGCATTTATTCATTACGGGTGTTTCCATTGCTCAAAAATGCAACAGGGGCGCCTCTCCACAGATCTGAACTGTAATGTACTGTAGAGCTGTAACCTGCTTGTCTTTGTCCTGATAGATTTAGGTTTGATTTATACTGTGGAACATTCTAGGCAAACCAATAATATTTCCATGGAGACAAGCAGGTGGCGGACTGTCCAATAGAAACGTTACACAGTGCACTTTCAACACAATGAAATATCCAAATTACAAATGAATAGTATGGTAATAAGTAAGATGCATTTAATTACATTTTCTGTATGAAATTCTCTTAGTGCCTTTCACTTTGACTGGATTTTCAAATAACACTTAAGTACAATTGTTATCATCATGTTTGTCATTTAATACGACGATTGTCACGTTGAAAGAGACAAACTGGTTAGATTGGCTGGCTGTGGTGTCCACTCAGATTTCATTTATTTCTGGATAAATCTTCTTAAAAAGATTATTGCAGTGTCAATTTTCTCTGCTCAAACATACCATTAACAACAACAATCCAGATATGTTTATTATGAATAGCTATAGCAAATAAGATTTTCTGTACATTTTCTGTAGCCTCTCTTTTGCTTTAATCTCTTTATATCTCTCTATATCTTCTACTTGTGTATTTATAAATAATGTTACTACTAATACAGTTATTGGTCAGTGTATTTCTTTATTTTTTAATAAGCTGATTGTTACAGTGAAGGAGCCAACTGTGTTTTATTGGCTGGCTGTGATGTCCACTTGATCCAATGCCTTTTTTCTTGATAATTATTTTTTTCCCATTAAAACAAGAATGATTATTGCAGTTTGCTCTATTTAAACAATACAGCACAATGAAATATCCAAATACATTTATTATTAATCTCTACATTCTGCCAAATAAGATGGCTGTTCCAGGAAGATGCAATAATATTTTCTAGTATACAAAATGCTATGTTGTGTAGTTTTATCTTACTATACCTTTTACCTTTGGTCTAGATTTTCAAACAATACTCACAAATACATGTATTGATCAGCATATTAGTTTTTTTAATATCACGACTGTTACAGTGAAGGAGACAAATGTGTTTTATTGATTTTCAGTGCAGCCTTGATGTTTGACGTATTATGTTGTTCAAGCTTTGTTTGTCTTTGACTGAAACGGCTGAAGTAAGATTTCTTTCTACTGTAGGTGAAGGAAGAAAATTAATGGTCTTTAAAACTGAATCGTCAATAGAAGTCAGTAATAATGATTCAGCAAATTCAGAGGAAAATGACTATTGTTTTCTACAGTTACATTACACATTGTGCCCACACTGTCTTGGCTTCAGGTTCTCTGTGATAAATTACAGACGTTTGGAGGGCCCCTTTCCTTCACTGGGCCTTGGGTAAACAAATGCCCTACCCTTTAACCCCCTCATCCTGACACCCTACACACTGTACAACTACTAACATTACTATTAGGCTTACAACTTCTACTCTGACACAGCAACTACTACTATTTACACTACTACTACTACTACTACTACTACTACTACTACTACTATTACTGTTAGACTTACAACTTACTAACACAACAATTACTACTACTGCTACTCCTGCTACTATTACTATTACTATTACTATTAGGCTTTCAACACCTACACTAACACTACTACTACTACTACTACTACTACTACTACTACCGCTGC